CAGATCCATTAGTGAGCAAGTGATGTAATGCTGCATTTCTCCAAATCCGTTCCGATGAAGAACCAAACTCATCATGGATAGCATGAGGGAGAGTACATTTTCAACAAATTTTCATTTTTGGGTAAACTATTCCTTTAAAAAAATGAAACGCAGTTTAATTGTAAGATACCTTTATTCACACTCTGGCAATTAGTGATTTTAGCATGGAAAACTTTATTTTCAGAGGCTCTTTTGTGGGAAGGTTTATTAGGGCATGCCAAAAAAAGTATTGAAATTGTAATCATTTTTTATACTCTCCTCCTAACCACAGTTCTTTTCTTCCAGCAGGTGTTACAATATTGTGTTTGTGAAAGAAGTGTTGTGGTTTGCAGAATATATAACTGTGGTTTAATTCTTATTTGATCTATTTTTTTAAAGGCAAAAAATACATGTGAGTTTTTGTAAAGCTTCTCAGGCATTTTATATCACTGGGCTGCTACTCTTAGAGCACAATAATAGAGAGCCGAATCTGACAGAGTTACACTCTTAATAGTGAGTTCAGTGGATGTTTGGGATGTAGTCGACTGAAACCGATCTGGTATATCCTCATAGCTGCTCCGTGATCGGGCACCTTTATACAGTATATATTCTGGTTCTCTGTTGGGATACTGTCTGTACCAGTAGAGATAGACATAATTGCTGCTGGTATCATATGAACAGCTCAGCGTTACACGCTCTTCTTCTGTTCTGTAAATAGTAGTTTCTTTGTCTTTTGGTTGAATGCTGTCAGACAAAACACCTGCAAGAGAATTGGACAAATTGAACAGGTCAGCTAGATTCTTTCCACACGTATCCAAAAACGCATAACATGTATGAATAAAAAATACACTAGCAAACAGTTTCTTCAACAAATGTGATGCCATTATTGTAGAGTACCATTAAAAAATGTTAGCATGGACAAACATTTTAATATAAATTATATTGAGTCTGCTCAGATTAAATGTTGTATACCTGTTGCTGTAATGAGAATCAGTAGAAAGCATCTCTCCATGTTGGGAAGGTTTGCTAGCTTGCTACTGAACTGAAGTTTCAAGGTAAATGTATGATTGTAGCCTATTATGAAGCCATAGTGTGGGTGTGGTTTATGTAGCCCACCTTCTCTGTCTTTCCTTTCCTAAAAATTGAGATGTTAAGATTGTGCCTTAAGTCAGTATATAAATATCTTAAAATGAACTATACTTCTTGTTGAATAAGTCTCTTCCTATGCTAATTCAATTTTATCAGCAAGTGTAACTTTGATTATGTTCATTATGTTACTATTAGGATCATTCAAAGCTAAAGAGAATAGAAGCTATTTGTGAGTTAGAATACTCATTTTTTAATATTGAGGTTTGTGCTTGTAGCATTATATTTGGTGTGTTGATTGATATGTATATGCATTATTGATCAAGTGCATTTTATGAGGAAAAACAAACCATTTAAGCCCTTTGAAATCTGTTACAAAATGATTGATTCAGTAAATTTAACAGTCTTATGGGAAACATGTCTGAGCCTGCTTTTTGGCATTATTCATTTTCACAACATTTAAGCACAGTTTCACCAAATTACACAAAATGTAGAGGGTAATAGGAACCATCTTCTGTTGTTCCTTGCACATGTGAATTCATTTCTGATATAGTTAGGCATCCTCTCTGAAATGTTTTAGTGTACACCCCCCCAGTGGTGCTGTGACGAACCTTTATTCTCCCATTGACTACATCCATGAGTCTAGCAAAGATAAAACATTAGTGAATCTGAAAAATATAAAGGATTATAAATGTTAATTTTATTTAATATGTTTTCAAATAGTTCTATAATAGTTATATTCCATCATTGGTCTCATTCAATAATGAGCATTTACTAAATCAATATACAGTGGGGAAAAAAAGTATTTAGTCAGCCACCAATTGTGCAAGTTCTCCCACTTAAAAAGATGAGAGAGGCCTGTAATTTTCATCATAGGTATACCTCAACTATGAGAGACAAAATGAGAAAAAAAAATCCAGAAAATCACATTGTAGGATTTTTAAAGAATTTATTTGCAAATTATGGTGGAAAATGATAAAATCCTGACACTTTGGGACAGAATATACTTATATATTAGAGAACAAAGTAAAACCAAAACAAAAAGCATCATTTTCAGGATGTTGTTTAGTGTGTAATATGTTTTTTTATATATATATATAAGTTTAAGCTATCTCCTTCTTCAAACAACACCTAGTTTGGTATAATGAGGTAATGTTTGAAAAAGTGCTAAATGTGTCTGATTTAAAATGCTACTACGTCTTACTCAGTTTAACAGAAAATGTCAGTCAAATGAATGGGCAATTTATCATTTATGAAAGACCATCAGTCATTTTTTCATAGCAGTATACTTACCAAATGAAGCCATTATACTTTATTGTATTAGTGGTGTTACCGTATCCTGTTATTCACAGAGACTTCGTGGCTCACATAAAGAACAACTGTGGTTTGATTTTTAATTTATTAAATACTGTTCAAATCAATTATTGTGTATGTGAGTTTTTGTAAAGAGTCTCAGGCATTTTGTATCACTGGGCTGCTACTCTTAGAGCACAATAATAGAGAGCTGAATCTGACAGCTGAGTTACACTGGTAATAATGATTTCAGTGGATGTTTGTGATGAATTCGACTGAAAGTGACGATCTGGTATATCCTCACTGTAGCTCCATGATCGAGCACCTTTACGCAGTAAATACTGGAGTTCTCTGTTTGGATACTGTCTGTACCAGTAAAGCATAGCATAAGTGCTGCTTGTATCAGTGCAGCTCATTGTCACAGACTCTCCTTCTTTCCTGATTATATTATCTTTGTCTTTTGGTTCAATGCTATCAGCAAATATACCTGCAAGAGAATTAATTATGTTTAATAAAAGCTGAATTAAACCCCTGCCCTTTCTGTTGCTACATATACAGTGCTATGAATGATCAACATAAAAAATAACAATATTTGATGTCAGAATTCTAATTTAACATCTATAAATTAAATATGCACGTAATAAACACTTTGAATCCACAATATATTTTAGTTCAGTGCTGATATTTGAACTGCACTTTACCTGGAATTGTTATAAGAATAATAAATAGAATACATCTTTCCATGGTGAG